ACCTCTTCCAGATTTTCAAGGATAATGGATATCCAAAAAACTGGGTCAGAAGATGCCTACACGAACAACATCAGGAAGATACTACATGCCCCGACACACTCATCTCACTACCCTACATCAGGAACACATTGGAGCTAACCACAAGACTCCTATGACCGTTGGGCATCAGAGTGGCACACAAGCCCACATCAACCCTACGACAACTGCTCACCCAAACTAAAGACCCACTCCCTGCCATGGACAGGACCAATGTCATCTATAAGATCCCCTGCAGAGACTGTGAGAAACACTACATCAGACAAACAGGAAGGAAACTAACAACAAGGGTACACGAACACCAACTGGCTACAAAAAGACACGACCAATACTCACTCATCTCAATCCACATGGATAAGGAGAACCACCAATTCGACTGGGCCAACACCAAAATCCTGGGACAAGCTAAGTAGAGACAGGCACGGGAATTCCTAGAAGCCTGGCATTCCATGAAGAAAGCCATTAATAAACACATAGAACTCGACCCCATATACACTTTACTATGAAGGAAAACCGGAATTGAGGCAATCCAGCTTAACGGACTCCACAGGTTAAAAACCAGGCGGAAAACACACCGACGCTTCATAGGAGGTTGCATTGATGATGTTGCCCAGCATGGTGATGAAACATCTGTGGAACAACAAACCAGCTCGGCAAGCCAACCAACCTCATAACTGCACTTCATGTGCGGCGGAGTCACTTTAAGAACTTGGGTTTGATTACTGGTAACAAAAAAGCTGCATTCCACTAAACAATCATGGAACCCGATTATGTGGGAGATGATCTTCAGAGAAAAAAATGTTAAAAAGTCAACTATGGGGTGAAAGCAAAGTATTAATGGATGCTGGAGATCTGAAATAAAAAGGAAAAGCGCTGGAGAAACTCAGCAGGTCTGGCATAGCTCAAGAGAGAGAGTTTATGTTTCAAGTCCAATGTGACTCTTTGGTACTGAGGAGGATCCTCTCTTGTTAACTGAAGAACTGTAGCATTAGTGATTAACTTTCTGTTATCACCAAGCTAGCGAGAGAGGAAGAGTTTCAGATACAAAACTCCAGTTAAAAATTATTAGAACTATGGGAGTTCTGACCAGAAACACCAATGTTGAACTGAAATAAAATTAGAAAGTGCTGGAGAAACTGAGCAAACTGATTCTGAAGAAGTCACATTGTACTCAAAATGTTTTTCTCTTCTCAGATGCTGACAGACAAGATGGACTTTTCCAGCAAGTTGTGTTTTATTTGAGATTTCCAGCATCTGCAGTATTTAGCTTTTATGTTGAGCAGTGAGTTGGCAACCTCAGAACAGGTGGAGAAGATCTGAAAGGACAACCTTGCAAGGCATAAGCAGGTGAGCCAAGAAATCTTAGCCTGCATACAAATCACTGATGCAGTACCCAGGCCAAGAGTTTTTGATTTATATCTTCTGCATTTTGATAAGTATAAGCATGGTCCTTCCATCAAAGGCACTCAGTGAGGGTCTGGATTAGGGATGGGATGGTCAGCTAAAATCTATCCAGTCTTTGCCCAGCCACTCTCTCCTTCCATACCTCCAACATTATTTACTTGTGGCCCAGGCAGCTTTGTAATCCTGTGACTCTGACAGATGTTCTTCGTCAAGTAGCCATGGCCTCTTCTTTGGCACTGCTGAGCACAAGAACTGCTGGCTCTCATTGATTAGCAGCACTCCGTGAGCAAAACCTCCACCCTCAGTGCCTTGATTCCAGCGGAAGGCCTACCAGTGGCTTTGCCACTGCCTAACTGGCTTGCAGTTCAGGCTTTCCCTCAAAGAGGTAAACAGGTCCCTCGTCAGCTCTCCAGCTGGCAACTACACCTCAACAAGTTCTACCCATTATCTCTTTCCTGCACCATTAAGAAGATGGGACTTGGGACTCTGAGATCTGGACTTTTTTTTCTTGTTTACCTTTTGGCTCTGTTAAATCTTTTAATTCTGGTTTTTGTAACCAAGTGGGCGCCAGTAAATGCTGACTTTGTATACTTGTTGCTGTACATTTGTATTCCTACACTTAATGCATGTGACCAATAAAAAATCTAAAGCAATCTAATCTAATCAGGTTTTCCACAAGGGTTATGTATTTAGGCAAAGATTTTACAAGTTGGAGAGACTGTACTCAGCAGTCACTATCATTTGTGCTAAACAGTCTTCCTGGCAATGGCATCTGTTAGCTTGCCATTTCAGAGTGCATTTAGAGTCAATTTAATTGGATGTCAGCTTGGAGTATTATTAGAACTTAGTTAGCCCAACTCTCAGGACCCGTGCACATACTGAAAGATTAAACTTCTGTAATGTTTGGAAGGAGTACTGCTACAAGTGTTTCTTGTTAAAGTAAAGCCTGCCAGTTCAGCCTAGCATTATCCAAAAAGCATAAGAATCGCCTTCGTGTCCTGGCCATCTAAAATGGATAAACTGGTCATTTGTTTATTGCTGTTTGTGCAATCCTGCTATGAGCAAATTAGCTACTCCATTTGCTTATACAGGAACAACGATTACTCATCAATCAGTTCATTCTCTAGCACTAAGTCATGCTGAAGATGTGCTAAGTGCTCGATAAATACAATTATTTTTATTTCATGTAGCATTCTTTAAGATTTGTGTTGCTAACACACTGGGTAGGGTGAATAGGTTTACCCAGTAAATCAGTTAGCTTTACCTGACAGTCTGGCAGCTTCTGTGGTCATTTTGTTCTGGTGCAAGCTCACAAAACGAAGCTTATTTGACATATAATATTTGTATACAATTTAACAACTTTCCATGGTGTGATTTTCATACATGACCTCCAAGCTAGGACCATTCCTGAACTGAGAACACAGGGGTAAATTTTTACCTTAACCATTTGTTGTCCTGATTGACTGAGCCTGATTCCATTCTGTTAAAATCAACTGAATAAAATTGTACAAATTCTACAACAGTTTACGACTTCACTAGCCTACTGGCCATTAGGTGAAGACAAGTATTTTATCCAGTAGCTACCAAAACAAATTGAAGTGTAGGTAGGCAAGCCCTGAATGTTTGGCAACCGTGTCAAATTACACGTTGCCACCTGGCACAATATGATCAAAATAGACCTGAAAACCACTGGCAATCGTTTGGAAAACATTTTCCTATGCTAAGGAATCCTCACATTTAGTTTAATGTGAAAAGAAAACTCACCTTTTGGTCCAATCTTTGCAAGGATAGAATGTAGCTGTATCATAACCTCTTCATTTGGAGGAGAATCTTTACTGGCGCTAAATAGCAACTGAAGTAGAATTTGGCTTCCTCCTTTGGAAACCAAAACACCACACCTGCGTCCTCCTCCTAGAAGAAAAAATTGGAGTTTGTTTTTATTTTGCGTAATTCAATGTACATGCAAATATACCATCATGGCAATGTCTTTTTTCATATTAAGTGAATCTGGTTCTTCAGTCATTAGTCTAGATTGTTTGAAAATTCCCTTCACAGAATGAAAATTGCCAATAATGTTGCACGAAAATCACAAGGCCTGATATAGCACTATAATGTTTAAAATGAAGTATTCTAGAAACAAAAAGCGTCTTGGATGTTTAATTCTGATTTTCTTCACTATTAAGTTAAATGTTCATCAACAATACAATATTCACTTCAAATATCCAATTATCTAGCACTCCAGAGCATTTACAATTTATGAATTGTAAGCAGAATTGCTAGGTGATGGAACAGTGTTAAGGAACAGTGGAACAATTGTTCTTTGCTACATTTGATATGGGACTTCCACTTACAAACAGAAAATGCATAGTACGAGTGGCAAAATACTCCTTTCTTCAAAACCAGGGCACTTTTTTTAACTTGTTCACAGGATGAGGGTGACACTAGCAAGGCCAACATTTATTGCCCATCCTTAATTGCCCAGACAGCATTTACAAGTCAACCACATTGCTGTGGGTCTGGAGTCAGACGTAGGCTAGACTAGGTAAGGGTGCGGTTTCCTTCTATAAACGTCTTTCTGACAACCGGCAACAGTTTCACGGCCATCATTAGACTTTTAATTTTAGATGGTTATTGAATTCAAATTCCACCATTTGCCATGGTGGGAGTTGAATCCAGGTCCCTAGAACATTACCTGGATCTCTGGATTACTAGTGTAGCGATAATGTCACTAAGCCATCTCTTCTCCCAACTTGTTTCAGAGATAGTTGGAACTGCAGATGCTGGAGAATCTGAGATAACAAGGTGTAGAGCTGGATGAACACAGCAGGCCAAGCAGCATCAGAGGAGCAGGAAGGCTGACGTTT